CATTCAAGTTTTTAACAAAAAAAGAAATCTTTAAAACCTGTGAAACATTTTTTATTAATAAAGCATTGGATAAATTCTCTTAAATACGTTTTTGTTTTGTTTCTACTTTTGTTTGTTGCTTGACAAATTTTATTAGCGGATTACGCATTTTGTTATGATATTTTATTGAAACTTTTATTTTGTATGTCATATTACGATATTTTAATTAAATCTTGTTAAAGGGGTTCTATGAAAAGATTGCGATGGCGTTCTGTCATCCTCATCTTCTTTGAGCTCCATCTGTTTTAATTGTTTTGTTAAATTTTATATTATGTAGTGGAATTTGTAAAACTCTTATGTTATGTAAACAGAGAAAGAAAGAAAAAAAAAAAAAATGCGAAAAATGAATGAAAGTTAATACTTTGCGTAGGTCGTTTTTACAACTAGGTTTTAGCTAAATAATTGTTTACAATAAATAAACGTTTAAACCAACGACCTTTTAACCAACATAGACGATTTTTAACTGAATGTTTCTCTCATGAAGTTTGGGAAGTTTGAGTAATCAATGGTTTTTGCAAGGCCGACAACGACGATGACACGGTTTTCAAAGTGGGGGGCATACAACCTTATTTCGAAAAGAATTCCTCAATTTTTTATAAAAATTGTAAACTTCTTTAAAAAAAAAGAAAGAAGATTAACACAAAAAAAAGTAGTGGGCGGGATGAGGGGGGAGGGGCGGGGAGCGTGCCCCCTTAGAAACTAGAGGGGGCGTACTCCCTCTTGTTTCTGAGGCGAACAATCTACCATTGCGCCACGGCTGCTAAAAACAAAGAAACATTGCATTATATTTTAAGGGGTTTTAATTACTTTTTAGCCGTTTTTTAAAAATCTAAATTCTTTTTAAATGAAGTTTTAAATCAATTATTGTTAGAAAAATTATTTGATCGACTACTTTTATTATTTCGAACGCTGATAACGCTTTTCGTTTGTCAAAAACAAAAAATCATAAAAGAAATTAAAATGAAAAACAGCAAATAAAGTGTTGTCTAAGTTATTTGTTATTTGAATACCCGGTTTCGGACCCAGTTTTTACCACCACGTACCCGGAATGGGGGACCTGGTATACTGGTCCCGGCACACCGCTACTCTTGAGTACCCCTGGATGATTGTTCCTCACTCTATACATACATAAATCATGTCTTAAAGTTTTCATCGTGGATTCCAAGATTGTAAATTCCACATTTGAGACACTTTTTTTTATAGACAGACACTTTATTTTATTGTTAAATAGATCGAAATTTTTGACATGTATCTGATTGCGGATGGTGAAAATGAAAACTGAATTTTGTATTGAATATGTGTCGAAATAAAAAAAGTTAATAGTGGGGTGCGATTATCTTCATCATCATAATCATCATCGTCATCATCATCATCATCATCATCATCATCATCATCATCATCATCATCATCATCATCATCATCGTCATCATCATCATCGTCATCATCATCACCATCATCATCATCATCATCATCATCATCATCATCATCATCATCATCATCATCATCATCATCATCATCATCATCATCTGGGATCTGCAATGTGTCTCTAAAGTAAGTTTTGCAAATCTTTTTAACATTTCCACATGTATCAGTTAGTCTATAGGTACGAATATTAACCCTACGGGAGTTATTTGATGCAGTATAGTTCCTGCGTTTTTCTTTTACATCAACAGAACCAATTACATAGGCGTTTTTTAAATCCCAGTTCATGGTGTTAAAGTTAGAAAAAAAACCTAATTAAGGAGAACAAGTGTTATTTTACTGCTGCACTTTAGATTGCAACAACTATCTCTGTTAATAAAAATCTTTGATTCAACGACTTTGCCCTTTGTTGTAACATATCTTTACCCTGTTGACCTTTTTTGTTTTAGTATATTTCTTTTGTGTAGTTATGGATGGGCAACTCGCTTACGACCATGTCTGCCTGTCTTTTTTCTTCTTCTCAAAAGAGACTAAATTTCTAGAGATCGTTTTCCTAATGATTTTAAATCAAACGCTATTTATAAATTTGAATGTGCAGGATGTAAATCCTGTTTTTATTGAAAAAAAACAACAACAACTGGTCATCAAAAGACACAAATGATCGAACACAATTAGAGAGATAAAAATATTTATAAACATTTTCACTTGAATGCAAGTTGTTTTGATAAACTTTATTTTTATACTTCTTAATTTTGCCTCGAACAAATAATCATGGCCTACTTAAAGTTAACGGCCTAATATTCTACATATTTGCAGAAAAAGTAGAAGGCCAGTTTAGAGTGCGGTTTTGAATTAGAGTGTAACGGTACTATATAAATTGAAACTTGTAATATTGAAAATAAGAATGGTTAACAAATGTTGTGTTGTTGGCTGTTTTTCAAACTATTCTAAACATGATGTGGTTCCAGTTTTTTCATTTTCTGTAAAGAAAGAATTAAGAACGAAATAGATAAAATTTGTAAATAGACTAAACTGGGTATGAACTAAGTCATCAGTTATTTGTGCAAAATATTTTCCGGAAAAATATTTAAAATATGGAGAACAAGAAAAAAGATTTCGTTTGATAAAGAAGTTAAAACCAGTACCAACTATACATCCAAGTGTTATATCGAAATCATTAATACCAACAACAAATTTGGAAAGAAAATCTCCAACAAAACGAATATACCAGAATGATCAAAGCAGCGAATTTTTAAAAAATGATTTAATAAAAAATATAAACTGTATTGCTGATATTCCATGTCCAAGTGGCTACTAAATGCTACCAAATGCTACCAAATGCTACCAAATGCTACTAAATGCTAAAACATGATGATCATATTGTATTTTACAAAATGTTGTTTAATGAGTTTTCAATACCAGAAGTTATTGAGTGTATACGAGTTGATGAGAGTTTACACGTTAAACTATTTTATAAGGGTTGTTTAGTGCCATTACCAAAATGGTTTTGTAATGGTCATAGTTGTTCATTAACTCGTAAAAGTATGTTTGAAAACTTTCCTTTCTTATTTAAGCAGTCAAGCATAAAAAATTTCTCAGTTTTTGAAGAACTTGAAAAAATAAAGTATCAGAAAAAACCAATGTACTTTGGTAACTTAATTTGATATGCATTATTATTGCGCTATACATCTATGCAATTCTACAAAGTACTTTTAGAAGAATTTCGATTACCATCACTTTCTTTATTAAATAAAATTTGCTCTGGTAACATTGATGCACTAAAAGCTGCAAAATTATTACTTGAAAATAGCAAAATGTCACAAGACGTCTGCATAATATTTGCTGAAATGTATATACAGAAATCTGTAGAATATTCTAGTGGAACTATAACAGGTGTTAACAGTGTTGGTGAACTTTATAAAAGTGTTGTTTGTTTTATGATAAACAGTCTTAAGGAAAACATCCCACATATTATAAAGGCTATTCCAGTAGTACGAATTGACAGTGATTGGTTAAAAAATGAGATTCTTGAAACTTTGAATCTTTTGCATAATAGTGGGTTTGTTGTGCGAGCTATTGTGTGCGATAATCATGCAAGCAATGTTTCTGCATTTAATAAAATGTTATCAGAATATGAAAATGGATTTGAAAGCTTTTAAACTTTATATAACTGCAGAAAAGTTTATTTATTTTACGATGCTGTTCATTTAATTAAAAATGTGAGAAACAACATGCTAAATCGAAAAAGGTTTTTGTTTCCTCCATTTGACTTTATTGGCTTTAAAGAAAAGGTTACAATTAAAGGTGGAGAAGTATCTTGGAAACTATTTCATGATGCCCATGAAAAAGATCTTGCTTTAGGTGCAGATTTACGTAAAGCTCCTAAACTAAAAAATAAAGTGCTACACCCAAACAAAATATAAACAAAATGTTCAAGTAGCTCTTGACTTATTTAATGAAAGTACAATAGCTGGTTTGAAATCATACTTTCCTTTACGTCAGGATGCTGTTGGCTTTTTAGGGCTATTTAATAAATGGTGGATTATTGTTAATAGTAAAAAACTATTATATTGCAAAGAAAATTTCTAAAAGATTAGTAAGACTGGGTAATTATACCTGTGATGCTTTTGCACTTTTAGACTTTACTTTTGATGTAATTAACAACACTGATTTGCCATTCAGAACCACTGCTCAGTTTATTTTGAAAACGTTTTTATTTAAAGAAAATATCATTTGTTCTGATCACCTTACCCTTGGGATAAATCTCATAAATAAAACAATCAGTAATATATTCTTCAATAACAAAAGAAAAATTATTACTGATGGTAATTATATGGACAGCATAGTTGGTTTAAAAAAAAAGCAACAAAAAAAGCAAGATTGAACATAAATATAAAAATTAACAAGACATTATGTTTTTAACAAATTTAATATAAACAATATTTCTTTTTTGTTCAAAAAAAATAAAATTAATTAAAAAAAAAAAGTTCTATAAACGAAATTTTGTTGTTGTTGAATAGAAAGTATTTTTAAAGTATTTTAAGACATAAATACATTTTGTCTATTTATTTGCTTTGCTTTATTTTGCGCAATAATTCCTTTTTAATGGCCTCCTATTTTTTCGGCAAATATGTAGAATATTTGGCCGTAAACTTTAAGTAGGCCATGGTTTAATACTAAAAGAAATATATTGAATGGAAAAATCCTAGCTTTAAGAAACAAGTGAACTATGTAAAAATGACGCTTTCAATCTTAAAACATCCTCCATAAAGTCCTATACCTCATTAAATCTCCTCAAAACATTGTCGGTTTATTTGTCTTATTTTGTACTTTTATGACAATTGTAACTATTTGCTTTTCTACTGTATTATTAATCAATTGTATTGTCTCTTATAATATTTTAACTTTTTGGAACCAATTTGATTCATATATTATATGGATTGGATGACTATGTTATAGTCGAAACATGTATTTTAAATTAATAAATTAAATGTTATATATATAAAGAAATTCTCAGTGAAAAAAAAAAACTACTAAAATATTTACTATTATTTTTCTTTAATAAGTTTTTTTATACAAGATTTTAATATAAAATAAAAAACTGCTGCTTTAATTGCGTGCTTATAAAGAGCGGTGTTATTAATTCCTAAATGTGCGAAGTCACGGAAAGCTAAAAAACCTGGTTTTTTAAGTAGCAAAGTTTCTTGGAAGATTTTAAAAGTTTTGTGTATATATGCTATTAAAATTTATTTAAAAGATAAGGAAAGAAAAAAACAAAAACAAAAACAAAAAAAAAACACATACAAAATGAGTAATAAAACAATTTTTTTGGAATACAACTAGTTTTAATGAACATTTATAGGTTTGTACATTACCGTCGTAATATATTTTTTCTTGTAGCGGTGAGTTGTACTTAGAGTCATCACATTATCCTAAAAGACAAAAATTCGAAATAACCTTAAATGAAACTTGTATTCAAACATTTTTAAGCTTATATTCTAATATTTGTTAATACCATGTTATACCCTATGTTACACCCTGTTAATATTAATATTATAGAACATTAAATAATCATACACACTAGGAGATCAAATATTTCAAATTTACCTTAATGGAAAGTGCGTAAAGGTGATTTAATGCCACGTGATTTGGAATAGGTAAAACGACTGGATCATCCTATTTGTTTTAATACATACATGAAAAAATATAATAAGTTATTGATACATTTTATATGGCCTATATTTATATTCATAAGAAGCAAAGAAAAAAGATCACCTCGTCGACAACATCATTATTTAAAATAACATCAAGTAGATGAGGAGGTAACAAAGGGGGAATTAAATTGGCAGTCTTTGCCCAAGGTTCTTGAGAGATTTGACTAATATCCGGGATAAACTGACCGTAATTACCAGGAGGAGACATTCCTATAAATAAATATTTTTAAGTATAGAACGATAAAGGTAACTTAAAGTAAAAGTAAAAAATAAACACAAAAGAAAGTGTTTATTTTTATTATTGTTTTGAATTTATTAATTTTTTGTCTTTTATTTGGTTTATTTTATCGAAAAAAAAATCGTTTTTTTTTATAATGTGATTTATTTAAATTTGGTAGCATTTCAATTAAGTATTTGAAAACATTATATGCGGGCATGCATAATTATACGACTACATATAATTTTACCTAATTATTCTGATTTATGAGCTTTAATTACAACCAACAATTTAATTACTTAGTTAAGAGGATTATTAGGAGTCATAAAATCGAAAATATAAATAGATAAGACTTTATATTAAAAATCGAGTTGAGAGACAACTATATTTTAGAAATTACTTGATATTTTTACTATATATAATAACTAAACTTTAATAAGATAATGTACGCTAAAGTATGCTATATAAATATACTAACAACTTATTTCAAAAATTTTTTTAAAAGTTAATTCTTAAAATAAAAAAATCTTACTGCTAAGAGATGAAGAGCTTGCTCCAAGAGGAACATTGGTACCACATTCATCATTTAGTAAAGCCTGTGTTGGGTCAAAATCAGATTCATTAACATAAATAACATTACTATGTCCTCCAAGTTCATCATCAACTGTTTTCTAAAAAAAAATTAAATTAAATGGTGTAATACAAATGTATCAAATCAATAAGTATCTTAATATACCTTATATTTTGATAAAATTGGTTTTTATCATTGGAAAATGAATTTCAATGTTTAAACCAATTTAAAACTTTTATATACAAAAAGAAAAACGGAACAACCAAACTATTTTCAATCACGGCAAACCAACATTTATGCACAATAAAATTTTTTATATATATAACTATTTTTAAATAGTATTAACATCTAGAAAAACCTAAATTCGCTGTGGTGCATTGGCAAGAATGCTGTTTGAAACAAAACTATTAAAATTTTGTAAATAAACATTATTCTTATAAACACATTTATTTTTACTCTATCTTGCTGTGAACTGCCGTTGCCAGCTAGATTTCAAAGATAGCACTAGCCTGCTAGATTTCACCAGCTAGACAATCTTTCATTTTTCTAGCTCACTCTAAAAAAAACTTTTAAATCGAATGATTTTAAATTTTAATATTTATATACGTTACCCAATCCCTAATAAGTAACATAAATGAATATTGTTTTGAGTAACAAATGAATATTGTTTTGAGCAACATAAATAAAAAAATGAAACCGAAAATAAAACTAAAAATGAAATTAAAACTGAAAATAAAACTAAAAAAGAAATTAATATAGCTAAATAATTATGAAATATTTCTTAACAAATAAGTTAATTCTTGCTAATCATAATTTAATCTCGTAATTTTATTGGTAAAAGTTTTAACTATCTTAAGTTTAATAGTTCTTATTAATTTCTAACTAATAAATATAAATATGACTTGTAAATATGTTTTAAGCAATTTTTAATGACAATTTTCATAGGCTATTTGTAAACTTTTATATAATATAAAAATACTTATCTTTTTACAACTTTACAAGTATTTTTATAAAATTGTAAAAAGTTTTATTTAAGAATTAATTCATCATTGTGTTTGTGGCATCTACAAATGTCATAAGCTATTTATAACACAATAAAACTCCATAAGCAATTCTCAATACAACACAACTTCTTGTAATATCTTTTATTTCTCACATATGGAATAAAAAGTATGAACCACGGATCCAAGATATTAAAAAAAAAAAAGATTTCAAAATAATGTCATAAATCATAAAATATGACAATATAGAGATTTAAAAAAAATGCTTATATATATATACACTTGAGGTCAAAATTTCGAGTTCACTTGACAAATATTCAAAAAAAGAAAAAGATTTTTCTTATCTTATGTTTATATTGTTTACAGTAAAAAAAGAATATAATGTAATATACTTTTTTAAAGATCATGTAATATACTTTTTTGAAGATCATGTAATATAGTTTTTTAAAGATCATGTAATATACTTTTATAAAGATCATGTAATATTTTTTTTTAAAGATCATGTAATATACTTTTTTAAAGATCATGTAATATACTTTTATAAAGATCATGTAATATTTTTTTTTAAAGATCATGTAATATACTTTTATAAAGATCATGTAATATTTTTTTTAAAGATCATGTAATATACTTTTTTAAAGATCGTGTAATATTGAAATAAAGATCATATAATTTGCAAAATGTATGCAAATGACACAAAGCTCATGAAAGTTGTTGAAAATGATGAAGACCGAGCAGGTTTACAATTCGATCTAGACGAGATTGTTAAATGGACGCAAACCTGGCTAATGGAGTTAAATGTAAAAAAATGTAAAGTTATGGATGTAAATTCTGGACTAATAAAATTTGATTACATTATGGATGAAATCAAAAATGACGGTACAACCAATAGAGTAGTTTCAGAAGTCATAAATTCTGAAAAATATCTCGGAATTCTAATCTCCGAAAATCTTAAATATTCTCAACAGTGCAATATAGCTGCAAACAAAGCAAATAATATGCTTGGAATTCTTAAACACACGTTTGTATCAAGAGACATTGACATTTTGAAAAAAATTTATACTGCATATATTAGACCACATCTGGAGTTTGCCATACAAGCCTGGAACCCTTACCTTGATAGTGACATAAAAAAATTTGAAAAGGTGCAACGCAACGTCACGAAAGTTCCTCATGCTTTGAAAAATAAAGACTACAAAACTCGATGTAAAATCATGAAATTAACTACTCTTGAAGACAGACGGAAAAAATATAAGTTTCTCAACAATTTAAACCTAATTGATTGGCACATAATGCCTGGCAGCAAAGCACCCAAAGCTCAACATTGAACCAGATTTCATCGCAAGATTGTCAGGAACTGCGAAATCAGACATAAGTTTTTTAACAACCGTGTAGTCAATGAATGGAACGCTTTGCCAGATAATGTCATCGAGGCAACATCACTTGATAAATTTAAACAACTACTAGACAGTTTTCAGTCATCATAGTTGCTACAACTCATCATTTACTGGAAATACCACACAAAAGTGGCTGAAATACGAGTTGGGTATAGATGTGTATACTCAGCTGATGATGAGTTTAACAAGGCTGTGGCTTCGTGTAACTTAAATTAACTAACTAACTAATATACTTTTTTAAAGATGATGTAATACACTTTATTTTTTTTAACATTTTTCCCATAGTTTTTAATTTAGATATAATAGTCAAACTTGCCAAAGTATAAGAAAATTAAAATAAGGAAGTTAAATCTTAATAGAATTTTAATTAGTGTTAAAGCCATTATGTAAAAATATTTTTTTAAGAAACAAAGTTTCTAATGTTACATCTGTAACATTAGAACTTAATTCTTTTTTCATTTCAGTCACATTCGTGAATAATGCATATTTAAAAAAATATATTAATGCCTTAGAATCTAGATTCGCTATGCCTGGATCCAGCACGTGATTGGTTGAACTGGCTTTCTTATACACATAATAACTATAAAAAAGTTTCAATAACTTGTTACCGCTGATTTCTTTAAAGATTACAAGCTGTCATTTAATTACTAGAAGAATATTAGATTTAAAAAAAAAAAGTGTAAGTTTTTAATTATAAAATATTGTTTACAGTAAAATAATCTTTCAACAAAATACTTTTATAGTTTGTTTTTTTTAAATTTTTGTTTCTTTAAAGTATCCTCTTTTTGCTTTTATAACAGCAGCATATGTGCATCCTTACAATCAATTTCTGCAATGATTCAGTTAATATATGACTCCAGCATGTTTGTATAAATACTCAAAGATATTTTTGATTGATTGGTTGCATTTTCCTCACATTTCCATATAATTGGCCCTACAACAACTCGATTGGGTTTAATTCAGGCACATGATGAGACCTAGCAATTTAGTTCTTTTTGTTTTCCTTTGGCTGCGATATGTTTTCGGCAGAATTAAGAAATATGTTTTGGATCGTTATCCTTTTGAAAAACAAATCCACGATCCACAATTCGATTGTTGTGGCTTTTTTTTATTCATCCACAATGCCTTCAATTCGCACAGTCACCAACTTTGTTTCCAGCAAAGTGTCCCCAGACCATGACTGACCCTCCAGGATATTTGACTTTTAGAGTCAGGCATTGTTTTATCATGCGTTCTTCAATTAACCAATAAAAATATTTGTCAATCTTTTCCTCCAGAAATTTTGAACTTTGATTCATCTGTGAACAAATCTTGAGACCAATTTTTGAATTGTCCAATCTTTATTTTTTCCTATCTCAACCTTTTAACTTCATTTAGTTTGCGTAGTAATGGTTTTTTGGCAGCAACGTAACTTTTCAAGTCATAATTGGGAAGATATTGTTTTTTGGTGGAAACAGATACTGGTATTTCCTGCATAGAATTATTGCAAATCTAGGCAAATTTCAGGAGCAGTTCAATACAATTTCTTTTACTTGAGCACAGATAAATTTGTCTTTGTGATTCAGTGTTGCTCTAGGCCTCCCCAAACAATGGTTACAGTCAGTTACATACTTTTTTTTGCACGCTCTCCTGACTGCATTTTGAGAAATATTGGTTTTTGAAGCAATTTTCTGAGCTGAATTTTGTAATCCTTGTGTAATCCTAAAATAACTATATATAAATTTATAATTTATAAATATACAATAATAAATAAGCTCATTTTTCAACACTCAGCTACACTTTTTAACCATTTTTCTTCAATCAAAACATTATATATAAATTCTATTCTACATATTACAAAACTAGAACAAAATTTTTAAAATTATTTTAACATGCATAATATTTATTCTATATATCTAACAATATTTAACACAAACAATGTTTCGATTACCTTTCTGTATAAAAATACTATAATACACAAAGTATGCCTAAAGAATTCGTTATTGTAATGATGATAATTTCTATGTTTATAAATAGGTGTTTTTATAAATGTTATAACAAATACCTAAATTTATTATTATTTTAATATATATATATATATATATATATATATATATATATATATATATATATATATATATATATACAACCCTCCGAATTAGAAAAAATCAGGTCGGCAATAATTTGCCGACCTCAAAATTTTTGAGGTCGGCAAAAATCATTTGATACAATGGTCTAACCATAAAAAACAGAAACAAGGTCGGCAATTTTTTGCCAACCTAAAACACTTTCAAGTTGAAAGTGTTTTAGGTTTCAAGTCGAAAGTGTTAGTAGGTCGGCATTGCCGAATGCCGACCCTAATTCCATGGGTTGTGTATATATATATATATATATATATATATATATATATATATATATATATATATATATATATATATATATATATATATATAGGGCTTTGGAGCAAAGGTCTGAAAATTGTCTCCGGCTCCATTAGAATTGTTGGTTCCGACTCCAGCTCTGCTCTGCACAAAACAAATCTAAATTTTTTTTTTATAGTTATATGTTAGTAACTTAAGTACATTTTATTAATCAAAACCTTCATTTATAAAAATAAAATATTATCTAAAAAAATCCAGGTTTGAGTGAAGAACTTAAGCGCACAAAATAGCTTCTCTACACTTGCTTGTGAGACAAGCATACAAGTTACTTTTTTTCATGCTTCTTGTGTTCTTTTTGGGAATTCTTCAATACCCTCAAAAGATCATTTTTAAACATCCTATTTCTTCCATTACTTTACAGTTGTCCATAAAATTTGCATTTTCTTCCAACAGTATTCTATATTTAGCATCAACATAAACGCCAACTAGAAATACATCATTACCAAAAAGTTTTATATTTCTGCATTGATTTTGAAATGATTACATTGTTTAAACTTTCATTAAAAATGTTTCAACTAATTATCATTAACATTGTTTAAAAGTATTGTTTTAAAGTAACTTATCATACTCAACAATATGAACCAAATGACATATTACAAAAAATAATTGGATAAAAATTAATTTATGCTTGTGCAACAATACCGTTACTTTATTTTTTTCAGTCACAGTCACAGCAGTGATTTCTGATTTCTTGATTTTTTTTCTCTGATTTAAAAAATGCCTGCCCAAACCAAAACCCTTAATAGATGTATGTGTGCTCCACTGCACTTATCTCTATATCAGTTGATGTTTGTGCACTCACTGCTCTTCACAATATCAATCAATGTGTGTAAATCATAAATAACAAACTTTCAATACACAACAATAATAGTTAAAAAACATAAAACTAAACTGTTAAAAACAAAAATTACCATTCAGAGGCTTCGAACCCTGATCACAGCGATGGTATACCTAGTGAGTTATCATAAGGCTTAACACACTACACTAAGATTGATGGTAATCTTAAAATTTATAAAACTAAAATTTATAAAAATAACCAATCATAATTGCTGTCATGACTTCAAATAAACCAATTAGACTTTACTAACATGACCTTAAAGATGAAAAATTAAAATAATGGTACTGTTGCTCTGACCACAACAAAAAATTAAATTCTTTTCTGAGTTGATTAGTATCTGAAGAAAACTAACTATTTTCATTAGTGATGTACCGATTAATCGGTATCGGCATCGGCTTAATCGGACATTTTTTGCATAATTGGTATCGGTATCAGCATCGGCCTTTTTTACCGATTTTCCAACCGATGGCATTTTGATATTTTTATCCTGCATTATTATCATAATTAAATAATAAATAAACTAAACTTCGGGCATTTCTTAGAATTTTTTGGACAAATTTTTATTTTTACTTTGTTTACAGGCAAAAGCTTTAAAAGTAACCTATTTAAGCATTGTTATCTATATATTTTTAATTCTTTTCACTCCCAATAAGGCTTCAAGCAACCACTATCAAGTTAGGAGTTGCTAGAAAAAAAGAGTAGAGTTATAGAGCAATGAAGTGGTTGACAGAAGACTTAAAAAGTTGAAGCTTGTATGAGTCATGAAAATATGAAGATGGGACAGAGTTCCGAAGAGTTGAAGTGCGTGGAAATGAGCTAGACAAATAAAAGTTTTTGGAGCATGAAGAGACAGATACAGTCGAAGAATGAGACTTAGATGAATGACAAGTCAAGCAAGAATGAGTTTTGATTGATGGAACTAAAGATGAAAGCTCCTTTGAGCAGCAACCATGATAGCATTTGTAGAAAAGAGAAAGAGATGCATCTTTACAATGATGGGAAAGAGGCTCAAGCTTTGCAGATAGACCAGGTCCAACTCTGTTTACAATGTGTTTTTAAACCTTATCTTGAAGAGAATGAGCATCATTAGAAGAACCAGCCCAAATATGATAACAGTATTCCATACAGGGACGAATAAGAAATTAGTATAAGTAGGAAATGGAATCAGGAGAGAGAAAATGGTGAGCATGATAAAAAGAAGCAACCTTAGCAGATGCTAATTTAGCAATCAATTGTATATATGGTTTCTATGAAAAGTCAGTAATAGGTTAACTTGTTCAATTAGAAGGAAGGAAGAGAATGGCCATAAGGTTCGAGAGTCGGATTAGAAGAGAATTTCTTTGCAAATAGTTCAGCCTTATTTCATGTATTTAAGTACAGCCAAGTACCAAGTATATTTCTATATTTTTAATTTTTTTATTTAAATTCATCTCCCTTAGGCCACAAAGGCCATTTCAAGTAAGGAGGCTACTTTAGTTATGGTTACAACCCACTTTCAACGTTATAACTCAGAAACACAAACCTTGATGAACAATGCCGCTGCATGTAGAAACAAGTTAAGCGCTGTACTACAAGGGATGTGGTGGGAATCCAACATTACAAATTAAAATAATTCTAAAAACAATTTATCTAAAAATAATTTATGTCTAAACAACATATGATTGTTGTTTAGATATCTGAATTACTAATAAATTAATAAAGAATTCTAAGTAAACTGCATATGCATATTTTCTTTTTTTAAAATTAAAATAAAAAGTGTTCCTCTAAAATTGTATTTATTTTTTAAAAGTTTTCTTTTTATAGTAGAAAAAAAAAATAAAAATGTATATTTTTTTAACTGAGTTTTTCTAATATCTTTTAAAAATAATTGTTTGGCTTTGATTTTAGTCCAAGTATTTGTTTACCAATACCAATTTAAAGTTGTATGGTTTTATATTTTCAAATTTTTAATAATTAGTAAATTCATCAGTATCGGCATCGGTATCGGCCTTTTCCCATTCATCGGCATCAGCCAAAAAAGTGATATCAGTACATCACTAATTGTCATACACAGCTTTACTGGGATTTTTTAATCCAGGTCTATATATCCCAGACAGTTTCAACAAAAACCAATTTTGATTAGAAGCATACCAACTTTAAAAGCATGATCAGCTGCTTCAACATGACCAATTAGGTCCTGGAATTTGCTAACCTGAATGTTGACTAGTGCTATGCCCGTCTATCAGAAGAATATGTCTACACTGTATTATTTTTTTACTCAAACAAGCCAAGGAAGTGAAAAACTTCATCCAGCACAAAGCTTTTAAGAATAGCAATGAGTATTCGTGATTGATGCTAAAGTGTATGATTGACCACAACCTGGATTTATAAGACTTATGACTTACCCGGCTCACACTTATGACCTAACTGGCTCACACTTATGACTTACCCAGCTCACACACAATCTTCACAATAACTGACCACTTTATTTACAACCACTGCTTTGGGAAAATTAGATCTATATACAACTTATGTACAACTAATGCTTTAGTTGAGTTTTGCTCTTCATAGAACAATTTTTCAATGGAAGAGATTTCTTCGGCAATCGTGTTGTACCACACTGGCATTTTCTTCTGAACTTCTCAATTTAATAAAACTTAATAAATTAATAATTTAATAAAACCTAATAAAAAAATAAACTTCTATCTTCTATCTTAATAAAATTTCTTTCTGAAAAAAAAAAAAAAAAAAAAGAACTGACATTTATCATAGAGGAATTTTTTAAATCAACATATATTCTCATGGATCATTAAAAAAACTTGATTTGTGTTGGTTTCCTATAATTTATTTTTTAATTAAAAAACTACAAAAATCCATTATAACTTAGACATAAATCAAACCTGATGTGGATCATGTACCCAATTTCCGTCAACTAAAAACTTGTAATGATGTTCTCCACTTGGCAAATCAATAATAGCTGCATGTTCACCTCCACTATAAAACATTTGCTATGATTAAAGAAATATATATATATATTTTTTGTGCAACAAATTTATTTACAAACTGGGATGGGAAGTTCCAAAAAGGTTCAAAAAATTTCAAGTCTGAATGTATTATTTTAAAAATATTGAATTCAAATATTATAAACAAGCAAGATGGTTTAGTTTTTTTTTTTTTTTCAACAAACTCACTTTTAACAAAACCAAGCAACCACTATTTAGGTTAGGTGTTAACAGAAAGCAAAGAAAACAGTTGTTTTCTTGCTTTTTTTAGTCAGAAAAGCATTAAAAGAAAAGTATTCCAGAGCAAGAGAATAGTGATTCAAGCTAGTTCAAACTTTATCTAAAATGAGTTTTTGGACCATGTCTAAAAGAAAATTAGAATCATTAGAAAAAGCAGCCTAAGTTTGACAACATATTTATACAAAAACAAGAGATTTACAATGATAGAAAATGGAATCAGGAGTGAAAAAAAAGTGAACAAAATAAATAGAAGCAGTCTTCACAGATACTACTTTACAATGGACTGGACATTTCCATGAGAGCTCATTGAGCAGTAAAAAACTAATCCATGATGTAAAGCAGAGGACTCAGTAAAAGTGTTTCTATTCATCAATATAGGAATAATAACAATATTGCAATAATTATTCACAGTAAACAACTGAGTATTGGTGAAATAAAAACTCACAGCCACTGCAACCCTCAAGCTGTACTGTATTCATGCTTTACAGTATTGGAGAACCCGGCTCAATCATACATATTGCATAGCACCCTAAGCTGAATATGGAACTTTTTATAAACCCAACCCCAGACTGAATATGGAACTTTTTATAAACCCAACCCCAGACCCGGCAATATTATAAGATTTAGCAGAGGTTGATAGCTGGGGCTAGGAAAAAATTTATAATACATTATATATTATAAATTAGTGCATATATTTACTATTTATTAAATACTGGCATACAATATGAATACACACACACACACACACATGTATATATGGGCAATTCCGCGAGAAAGAGAAAAAAAAAAAAAAAAAGTTAGAAAGACACATACTAACCTCAATAAACTCTTTTTTTAACTATTTAAAAATACTTTTAAGCAAAAAAGTTATTTAAAAAGTTATTTTATCATACCATAGCATGGCTTTGAAGTTGTAAGGGTTATATAAACGTTTTTTGACGTTTTTATATAGTCCTATTGTGAAGCGTTAAAAAAGGTTTCAATGCTGCGTTTTTAAGTAACTATTACTTCTAAGTTTGACTTAAAGACATAAATAAACATTATGTAAACCATTTTTTATAAAAACGCACTCCAACTATGTATAGAATAAGAATATATTTATCAAATTAATGCGTTACGACCGTCACGAAAAAAAGTCGAAAAGTTTTTTCTAGGCTTCGTATTAGACTTTATAAAACTAAAAATATAGTAAAAGTAAATATGGTAATATAAGTTTTATCATCGTTTCAATTTTTTTTAAAAAAGAGCTTCAGATGATTGTATTAAGATGTAAACAAAGTATGTTACGACCATCACGATATGCTTGTTTTTCCATAACGATTTCGCTTGATTTTCTGTTTGTTTACTCAATATATTGATAAGCTTGTTAAAGTTTTTCCTATTTCTTTTTTAAAATATACATCACTTATTTTAAATAATTGATGTAAATAAATTAATATTTGTAAAGAAATAAAAACTTTTAACATGAAGAAAACTTTTTTTTAGTTTAAACGTTGTTTCTAGTTTGCATTGCAACTTTTTTGTTCATTAGATTTCGCGTTTTTTTTATTTATAAAATTCGCGGGTTCTTTTTTAACATAACAGAACAAAAATCTCAAACGGAAGCTGTCGCATTTAACAACATTTTTAAAATGCCTAAATCAGATGCTGAAAGATCAAAAGCTTATAGAGCAAGAAACAGACAAGTGCTGTTGGAAAAAGAAAGAAAGAGAAGTTATCAAAGGATACAGTTATTAACACTAAGAAAAGAAAACAAGCAAAAAAATCAAGCGAAAGTTCGTAACCGAAGGTTAAGAATGAAAAAAAAACTTGAATTTACTGCTAACACTAGTTTGAATGTTACGCCTGATAATTCTTATAACTGCAAATCGTCAATGACAAAAGCATTAAACAAGTATTTAATTATATTAAACTATATTTTTTAATGTTATTGCTTTCGCATAATTTGGGTTTTTTTATATTAAATAAAATTTTTAGAACAAAACAGGCTCTTCCAAAGTCTCCAAATAAAAGACGAACTATTGTAGAGCAGTTAGGTGCTGAATATACTTTATGCACTACTGAAGAAATCACGTGAGTTCGCATCACATCAGAAGAAATTAAAAAAGTAAAAGCATTTTATGAAAGAGAAGATATATCAATGTCTCCTAGAAGAAAAGATTATATTAAAATTGACGGAGAAAAAGTTCAAAGGCGCTATTTAGTTATGAATTTAAAGGAGCTGCACCAATTGTATTGTGAAGAGGGTGCCAGCAAAAATGTTAAACTAACTAAATTTTGTGAACTAAGGCCAAGATACATTCTTACATGCAAAAATGCACCACTTGAATCATGTGGTTGTGTTTATCACAGTAATTTTACTTATTTGTGAGCTGCTTTGGCAAGTAAAATACATTTTCCATTGTATTGTAATAAATGGTTAGAAAAATATGTATTGTGTAAGCCACCTACGTCCCAATGTTGGATTATGAAATGTTTGTTATGTAGTGATTGTAAATTATTTAAAGTTTCTTTGCCAGAAAACAGAGACATGAATACCTTCATCACCTATAGTTGGTGGATAAAAGATGATCATCGCTGTGTACTCAGTGAACATAAAAAAAACATAACAGACGTCTATAAACACTTTTGCGACTATTTACCAGAGTTTATTGAGCACCATCTCACTAAAAAGCACCAATCTGAGAAATACCGTAGTCAAAAGGAAAATCTCAAACCAGACCAAATTTTGATACACTTTGATTATTCACAAAACTATGTATGTGGTTATCAGGATGCTGTTCAAGCTGCTTATTGGTCGCAGTCTAGTATTACTTTGTTTACAGTTGTTATCTATCGTTACCAATTAGAGCCAAAATCAGTTGTAATAATATCCGATGATAATGATAAAACAAAGCGCTCCACTACTACTTACTTAAGTGAAATATTTGACCTCTATTGCATTGATTATATAAAAAAAAGTTATATTATGGAGCAATGGCCCTTGCACTCAATTCAAAAATCGTTACATGGCCAAATTCATACAACATTGCTATGTGAAATATCATTTTTCAATCTATAGAGTGGAATTTTTTTGCTACCTCTCACGGTAAAGGAGCAGTTGATGGTGTAGGAGGATCGTTGAAGTGATTTGTTTGGAACAGAGTAAAATCTCGTGAAGTTATAGTTTTAAACGCTAAAGACTTCCTTTTAGCATCAAATGGGAGCAAAACTTATGTTAGACTAATCAACGCAGATGACATTAATCTAAGGTGGGCCATTATAGCTGATCAAATTGAAGAAGCGAAAGCCGTTAAAAATATTACTAAAATGCATTTTTGGCAAGTTAAAAATAGAAAATTTTTGATTTCAAAGTTGTCAAATATTTTTCACGGTTTTTAACAATTTTAAAATTAATATTTTTTCTTTACTGAAAGAACTATTTTATAAGCTTATATTGGGACCAGGGAGCATTAAGAGCATAAACCATTAAAAATTTAGTAAAGTAATAAAGTATAAATAAAGTCGTTTTATTTGTTGTTTTTTAAAATTAGATTTTTCGTTACGACCGTCACGGTTACAACCGTCGCAACATAAAAAATACAGAAATGTTTGTAATAGTTCAAGTAAAAACTATGAAACTCTGCATATAATAACATCAATATGTGCTAAATGCACACAGCAAATGATTTTTATTTTTACCATGTCGTTCGCTGCATTTAGTCTGGCAGAGTTGTTTTATTTAGAAGCGATAAAAAGTAAGCGTTACGACCGTCACGTTTCGCCGAGTTATTTTTGGAAAAAGTTTAGACTTCAATACTGCAACTTTTGCTTACTAAATTATATAATAGTATTCCACATTTCTGGAAAGTTTCAAGTTGTCTCCATTTTTGGTTCATTTTTAATAGCTTAAAGAACGTCAGATGTTACAACCGCCACTCTCGCGGAATTGCCCATATATATATATTTCATAGCACCCTATATATATATATATATATATATATATATATATATATATATATATATATATATATAACTAATAAATCACCATGTGAAAATATTTATTAAAAATAATAATATTCAAAGACTTCAGATTCAAAAGTGATAGATTGTGAGCACTTAAATTCTATAAAGTCAAGAAATATTGAAAAATTTATGGTGCTCCAGGATTAAAAGTAAGAATCCAGGATTAAAGATAAGAATCCAGGATTAAAGGTAAGAATCCAGGATTAAAGATAAGAATCAAGGATTAAAAGAATATTTCACTTGTATAAGTAGTGGCTACAAACCTGTAGGTCAAAGGAAAACGAGTTTTCCATTTATTAAATGTCCCTGACACATAAACTTCTTTACCACCATATTCCCAACGAAAGATAGTGGGAACTGTTGATCTTTTTGCCGATACATCCAAATCAACTGGAACAAAACCATCTCCACCATCATCAATGACATGGCGCAAACTGCATTTTTCTAGAAAAATAGTTTAAAAAGATGTAAATTAAAAACTTTATACTTATTAGTAAGAATTATTAATTATTATGAGCTGTAAATTTTTTTTTAGCTGAAACAATTTTAATAAAAGTATCTCAAACAAAAACATAAAAATGAGTATATACGTTTATTTCAATATACTTAATTTTTATTTGAATTATTCATTTTATACATAACACAGACACACACACACAAGAAAGAAAAGAAATAGTGTCTTAAATATTATTCAATATTAAAAGAAGATGCAACGGAAAATCATCTCATAGAAAAAAAAAAAGAACAGTAACAGAAAAAGACAGAACAGTACTAATTCTACTGTATCGCCTTTAAAAAAGTAAGAAAAATAATACCAAATGATTCAGACTTGACTTCGTGTGATTCATCTACTGGTTTTTTAGGGTTGAAGTCTAGAGCTGATGATAAGTCTGTTTCGCCACGATACTTTCCTGAAGTTTGTCCCATAATTTTTTACTTAAAAACTACATCTAAATTATTAAAAAGGATTTAAAGTATAAATTAGTATTTGAAATTTTTGATTTTATATGTAACAGATTTTAACAAAACTTAACAAATAAACTTTGAGGCTGAAAAATGTGACATTTAATATGCCTAACTGCGTTTTGTTTGCTTTTTAACTGTTTACTTTTTTAACTGTTTTAACTTAATAATAACTGTTTATTAAATGCAAAACTATAATAACTGTTTACCAAATGCAAAACTATCATATAAAAAAAAATTGTTTATTCTTTACTTTTAGCTTTTCAAAACTTATAATAAGTTTCCAAATGTATTATTGTTATGAAACATTCATTGAGACTAAGAACTCAAAAGAAAAATTTTAATTTATTGCATTTGTATACTATTTAGAATTTAATCCATATTATATAAAATTATTTTCATGAACACTATATATATTATATGTTGAATGTATTTTCATCATTGTTGTTGAATATTAATCTTGTTTTATGTTTGTTATAATTTTTAGAATTTAGAATTCTCTAAGCTTTCAATTGTTTAAACCATTTCAATTGCTATTCAACAATTGCAATATTTTCAAACATAAAAGTGAATAATAAATACTCATAATCTTTTTTTTTTGGAATTTTTTATTTCCTCTTGACAATTGTAAGTCAAGCCTCTTCTCCATGGTTTTCCTCTCATTGTGCTGCTTCTATTTTCAATCGTAACTATATCTATCACATAAAAAATAAAACCATATCTATCGCATAAAAAATTCTCCAGAAAACCGATGTCTGTTTACTATTGCTAGAAACCATTGTAAAAAAGTTTTGTCTAATGCCAAAGCAAGCTATTCTCAAAAATTAGGCTCCCAAGACTTCTGTAGAATCTTTAAAGATGTCTAAAATAAGGACTGATCTGTTATTCTACCTCTTTTGCATGGTTCAGACTTTGTTACCTCAAAAGCAGATTTTCATCAATCTCATCTCTTAATTCCACTAATCACATCTTACATGATATAGCTTACAAACAGGTTGATCTATTGCTTGAAATTTGTATCACTCTTTTGAATCTTAAGTGATTTCCTGCTTAGACTCTTTTTCAGCTTGTGGTGTACTTTAATTCAGAAATTTTTTTTTCAGCTAATCATTATGACAATAATCTAGATTTTCTATATTTATAAACAGTAATTTATTTCATGAGTCATCTGTCCTTCATCTTCTAGGATTAACTCCAAAAAAACTCCTTGGAAACATGTATCAAATCTTTTGCATAATTAGCATCTGCTAAGGTTGCATTTCATACTATGCTCACCACTTTCTTACTCTGCATTCTATTCTCTATCTCTATAAATCTCTAGTCCTTCCTGGTACGGAACACTGTTGTCATATCTGCAGCGGATCTTCAAATGATGCTCTTTCTCTTTTAGACAGGTGCAATAACACAATGTAAACATAATTTGACCAGCACTTGCAGCCATCCTACAACCAATGTCACATCGCCGTAATGTTGCTTTTCTTTCTATTTTCTATAAATACGATGGACGCTGCTCTTAAGAACTAGTGTCTTTTGTGCCATCTACTAAAATTCATTCTTGTGTTACATGTCATTTAATTAATTTTCATTCCTTTACTATGACTGTTTTTAAGTGCTCCAAAAACACTTTTTCGTCTAGTTATTTCCTCGAACATGAGTCCTTTGGAATTCGATCAATCCATCTTGTTTTCCTGATTCGTATAATTTGCAATCTTTTAAATTTTTTACAACTAGGTGTCTTTCCTAGCATTAACCTGTTTTACAGATCAGGATTCAGTATTTTTATTGGGATATTAGCACAAGAATATTTACCATCTAAAGTTTGCAAGCTCTTCCTACCCTTTTTAACAGTTAAGTTTTAAGTCTTCACTAAAGTTATGGTGTCTTGCATTTGTGTATAAGTGTTCTAAACAAAACAACAAAATTATTGTTCCTTATTTTATATAATTGTGTATAAGTGTTCTAAACAAAACAACAAAATTATTGTTCCTTATTTTTATTTTGAGCAAAAATTTAGTTCAAATAACTTATTCAGATTCTTTTATAAAATATGAAGTAAAAACATACAATTTTTATAATTTAATTTTACATTCTTTTTACATTTCAGTAATTTAAATAATTCTTTAGCACATACACCATTCATTTAACAAGTTAATGGACATCTATTAATTATAACATATCAAATTTATTAGGTTAATGGACATCTATTATCCATGACATACTAAAATTATTAATAGACATCTATTAATTATAACATACCATATTTAGATTACATATTAAATATTTGGGAAAAACTCCAAATATATCAAGTATTACAATTTATCAAAATTAATATTTGCAAATAGCAAGCTGTGATTATCAATAAATCTTCTTTATCTATAAAATATATAAATATATAGAAACAAAGATTTAAATCGTAGATGAACCAATCCAATGCAAGACATCATCCCATTCTTAATGTGAAAAAACATGGTGAAAGTTCAAAGACTGGATCTCAATATTAAGATGGATAAGAACAATATTAATAACAATAATATTAATAAATAATAATAATTTTTATTACTTTTATTTATAAATTATATTATTAACCAAAAAATTTAAATGACATAACAAAAGTACATTATTAGTTCATTTTTAATTCCAATATTTGAAAAAAAAAAAAAAAAAAACTAAAAAAAGTAAATGCCAGATGTCATTTAAGTATTTCCATTTTTGTGTTAAAATAAACTTTTAGGAAATGTTAGTTTAAAAAAATATTTTTTGAATAAATATATATTAAATAACTCAAAAAATATAAAAGGAAAAAAAAAAGTTTAAACTCTCTTTCAATGTCAGCTTATTTGAACATTTTAAAATTGGGGCTGAATAATTTAATTTTAATCTTTTTATACTAACAACTAATAACAATATTAAATAAAAATAACATAACATAAACAACTGTTAATCACATTTTCAGAACTTCAATAGAAAATTTTTTACTTTAACCAAATGGACATATGTATTTAATTATCATGTTTTATTTATAAAAACATTAAAAAAAAAAAAGAATTAAAAACAGCTTTTGGTTATTTCCTTTTTTTTTCTAAAAAAGAAATTCAAAACAATCAAATACACTTTTAAAAATATTAATTATTCAAATGTTATTAAAAAAAACTGTGTTTACATAATCAAATATAAATTTTATAAAAGATAAGATATAAAAATACAAAGAAATATAAATTATAATATATATAAAAAATTTTTTTATTCAAAATATTTATTTTCAGAAAACTTTTACAAAAAAAAAAAAAAAAGCAGCAAAATAAGAACCAAAACTTTCTCATTAAAAGATATTTTGAAAAATAACATTATTTTTATAAATATTTTCATTTTTAACAATATACTTCATAAAGAATTTCTTAATAATATATTTTTAATCCACTTGATCCATTTGATATAAATTTGATAAAAATCTAAAAATAAATAAAAACAAAGATTTTAAATTTTATATAATTAATCATTTTAATAACAACCTTAAATTTTCGTATAGTTTAATGTTTTATCATCTTTAAAAATAAAATTAAAGTCTTTTGCTATATTTTACATAAAAAAGAGCACCATTAAAAAAACCAGCCCAGCTATGACAACAGTATTCTATACAGAGACAAATAAGATATTTGTATATGTGGAGAATAGAATCATCAATAAGAAAATGGCAAGCACAATAGAGAGAGGCAACCTTAGCAAATGCTAACTTTGTAATCAATTGTATATATGGTTCCCATGAGAGGTCAAGATGATAATCCAAGAAGGCAAAAAGAAGAGGACTCTTGAGAGCAATGTTATTCATTAATATAGAAATGTCAACACTGTTGTAGTAGTTGTTTGCAGTAAATAACTGAGATTTGCTGGAGTTAAAATTTACAGGCCACTATAAGCTCAAATCTGTTACAGAAGTAAGATCAGATTCAAGATCGGCTACCTGCTCCAAGCAATCAAAAAAAAAAAAAGACTTTTTGTCAAGAAAAGAATGTAAAGTTGAATTGTCAGCAAATAGAGCCATTTTAGATGTTAGGTTGAAGACCATTAATATAGATAAGAAACAAATCAGGAACAAGGATAGAAACTTGAGGTACCTCAGAAGTTACTGGAAATGAAAGTGTTGGCTTTCAAGGATGACTTTAATAAAGTGGTTAAAAAATAATGATTTAATGATCTCAAAAACTTTTCTAGATACATCATATAAAGCAAGCTCATGGAGAATATCTGCATGCCAAACTTCATCAAAATCTTTTAATATGCAAAGAGCAATAGTCCTTGCCTTGCTACATCTAATGCACAATAGAATCTTACAGTCACAGCAGTTAGCAAATAGAGCAAAAATATCAAAAACTGTTTTGATTATCTGACAGTAAGTTATTTGACTCAAAATGGGAAATTTGTTAATCAAAGATTAAAAGACCTTGCTAATAATAGAGAGAAGACTGATTGCAGGATAATTGGAGGGGTAAGAATGTTCTCCAAATTTTTGACAAACTGGAGCCACAGATGCCATTCTCCAGCAAGTAGGAAAACAAGATTTAGTCAAACACTTAATAAATAGTTTAAGGAGAATTGAAGAGATTTCTGGAGAACACTTTGTAAGATTTCTTGAGATAGAAATGCTGTTTGGACTAGAAACCATAAAAGAGTTTAATTTAAATATGACATGAGCAATGGAAGCTGGAGGAAAGGTCTAACAATGGGTTAACCTATTTAACTGGTAATGCAGAAAGATTATGGAATAAAGATTCAAATTAGAAAAGTTCTTTGCAAATAGTTCAGTTATCCTTTGGAGAGGTAATAAGAATAGTTCCATGAATGCGAGATTAAACCTCACATTCATGAGATTAAACCTTTGTTAATGATGCTGTTGAAAATATTTCAAAAGTCTGTAGAGTCTAATTTCTGAGATAAGATATGAGATTTAGTAATTTAGGAAAAATGGAGCTTTGCATCAACAAGCACCCTTTTACATTGATTTCTTGTAATAATAAATAGCTGTTTGTTCTCAAGAGAGTTGTTCTTTTGAAAGAAATGAAAAAAATGATTACAAATAGATATAACAGTTGCAAAAGGAGATAAAAACCATGGAGTAAAATAAGGCTTGACTTGGAACTGAAAAGAAGGAATAAAAGTTTTTATTCTTGCCTGAATCCAGGAGGTTACATAGGAGGGTCATTTATTAGTGGAGAGAGAAAAGACATTAGCTGAATGACCATCTAAATTCCCCAAAATAAATTTTTGCATGTTTGACTGGTCAAATAAAATCAGATTTTTGAAAAACAAGCTTTTACAAATAATCATGATATAATTTAGAAAAAGCATATACTAAAATTTCATAGTCATTTAAATTTCATAAAAACGTAAAAAATAGTTTTATTGTTCATGACACGCTACTTTAATTTGCTTTGTTGACAAATTTATGACATAAACTACAGTTAATTCCCGATAACTCGAACCTCCAAGAGACCAAGTAAAATGATTCGACTTAACGATTGTTCGACTTAAACGAAGTCCCGACAAGTAAAACTTTGACAGAAATGAGATATTAGTTCGAGTTAAGGTGATTTTTATTTATTCAATACTAAAGTATAAACATTAAATTTACACTATTATAGTAATAAAAAGTGTGAAAAAAGTTCAGTGAAAAAAGCTACGTTTATCCGCTTGTATTAGCTTCTCTAATAATTCTTTTTCCACAATTAAGTTTATTTGGTTTATACATTTATGAATACACTCCCCATTTTCACTGAATATCATGTAGCTTTGTAGTACTTCCAAGGCTTGATGTACATCACCCGATTGAGGGCAAGTTGCTTTGATCAAAAAATTTAAATCACAATCTTCATCTCTTTCAGCCTCAAAATTTTTTTCTCCTATAACGTCTGATATATTCTCCTCATTATTCATTATCGGCTCGGTAGTGTTGACAAAATCATCCATGGAAACGACATCTTGTGCTGTTGTTCCTTCAGGGAAGAACTCAGATGAATGAACAGCAAGCTTTTCTAACTGGTCTTTGAGATCCTCAAAGGGATCATCCACATCTATCGAGGCGTCAAAACACATTTTCTCTGAAATTCCAGCTTTAGCAAAACAATTCCAAATAGTTTCGGTCTTTACCTTCCCCCAAGCAACATCAAGCATTTGCATGGCATACATTATAGTAAATTCTGTAAAAGGCTTTTTTTTTTCTATTACATCTATTAATTTTTGAACAGATAGTGTTCTATAATAGGCTTTAGATGACCTAATCACGCCCTGGTCCATCGGCTGTAGCTTCGAGGTAGTGTTTGGTGGTGAAAAAATTAGTTCTATTGATTAGAGATTATCAATGATTGGATGAGCTGGACAATTATCAACTAATAAAACAATTTTTAGTCCTTCCTTTTTAAACTGCCAATCAATTTCACGAACCCATTCCTGTAATAGTGTGCCATCCATCCAACTTTTCTTCTGACTGCGATAATGGCAGGGTAAATGCTTTACATTTTTAAAGCATCTGGGCGATTTAGCTTTTCCAATAACAAACATTGGCAATTTTTTCCCTAATGCATTGCAGATGCCAATCCTGTAAGACGTAGTTTGATGTGTTTCCCACCAACAAATTTTTCATTTTTAAAATGTAAAGATTTATTTGGTTGGAGCCGATAAAACAAGCCAAATTCGTCAGAATTATAAACCTGGTTCAACTTATATTTTGATAAAATGGTTGGTAACTTGGTTTCCTCCCCTGGTGCTACCATTTCACTTGTACATGCATTAGCTTCACCAGAAACCATTTTAAATGATATGTTGTATCGCTTTTTCCAACGGTCTAACCAACCATCTGAAGCATAAAAATTTGTAACGTTCATTCTTTCAGCAAATTTCATGGCTTTAGTTTTGAGAATTAAAGCAGATACAGTGACATCTCTGCTACAAACAACCAGAAACCATTTGAAAATGGCTTGGTCCAAATTTGCAAATGACCTTTCCTTATACTCTGACGTTTTGGGTTGTTTCCTTTCTCCACAGCATTAAAAATCTTTTCCTTGTTTCTCAACCAGATAGATAAGGTGTTCTTTGGTATATTATATTTTAAAGCGACCTTTGACTTTGAGATGCCATTTAATACTTCCTTCAGTGCGTTGTATTTGACTTTACCAGTTTTTGTATTCAACTTTCGTTAGTTGCAATTGTCACCATGTTACAAACTTTGAGTTTAAAAAGAAAATATTCACGCTGTACACTTAAAAGATAATATTCAAAAAAGTTTAGCAAAAAAATGCAATACAATGTCTTCCTTAAAGTATTTTATGTTTTATATGGAATGACTTCTTAAAAAAAAATTTTAATCAAGTTATTTTGATTTCATTATTTCCCATACAAAAAGTACAAGTTATCCAAAGAAATTTGTCGAAGGGGGACAATAAAATGGTTCGACTTAATGAAGTTCGATTTATCTGATGTTCTACTTAACCGGATAATTTTAATAGTAATCACTTAGACAATTTCAAGGGACCAAATGAAACAGTTCGAGATAATAAAAGTTTGAGTTAACCGGTGTTCGAAACACCAGGAATTAACTGTATGTCTTTTTTTTCTTTTCCTTTATATATTTTAATTAGTTTCATTTTACTGATTAAAATCATTTTTCATAAACGATTGAAGTTCTTATTTCATTACTGTTTTAATAAAAATATTCAATATATCATTTTTATGATAATATAAGAATTTATAATAATTTCTTTATTTAACTGAGAACATTATTTTTTCTACTTAGTCACCTTTTTTTATAATTTTTTTCTTCTTTAAATCCTTTTATTTATTTTCTCATAAGTTTTTGCTGCAAATGTAATAAATGTATGAATGATTTATAGGTAAATTTAAAATTTTCTATTATAAGGTTCTTAAAAATATAAATGTTTAGTAAAATCTTGTTTTATGTAACACTATTTTTATAGTAGTGTTTCATTAAACATATGTCTTCTTAGTATTAAGTATCAAGTTTAAATTAAAAAAATTAAAAAAAAAAAGTTTAAATTGTAAAAAATTTGTGCATGAGTGTTAATAAAGTTATAAATAACTAATTTCAACAGTTTTTAAAATAAGCAAAGTTAAAAAATTATTTTATACCTCTGCTCATTAAAATTAAAGATTATTATTTAAAATTTTTGTATGTAACTAAAAACATTTTCTCTTATAACTGCGCTTTTTTTTATTTTGTTTTCTTTTCATTTATTTTTTTTTTTGTAGCTTTTTCCTGCCGATGAAAAGCTATTGCAATGAATGGAACTATTTTAAATGAATTTAAAACTATCTGTTGCACGCTTACAAATTTTCTTTCTATTATTAAATTGTAATATGATCATCAAACGCCTACCCATCTTAATGGAGATGAATAAAAGAGACAAACATTTTTTAATAGCATTAATAAAACTATTTTTTTTAGTATTAAGTATTTAGTTTAAACTTTTTTAATATTGTATGAAACTTGTTTTGATATTAAAAAAAGAAAAAAAATTCAAAATTAAGTTACTTGGATATTACTTGGATATAAAATTACTTATTATTTTTATAACTTCTTTTTTTTAATTGAATGAATTTGTGTGGGAACATTATTTTAAACAAATTAACTTTAGCAGGTAACTTGAATCTTAGTTATTAGCATGTTTATATTTAAAAAATGCATTGATTTTGTTTAAAATTATTATTTTAAAAAGAATACCAGTTTGTTAATTTTAAGCATTAAGTTATTTTTGTGTGTTTAGTTTCAATCATGAAAAACTCAGATAAAAATTTAAACAAAGAAAAAAACAAACAAAAATATATATATATATATATATATATATATATATATATATATATATATATATATATATCAGGGCTCAAATTAGCACTAAAAATCTCATTGCAAAATAAAATTATTTTTGCCCCTACCCCCTCATATCTTATGCCACTTTACGGAAATGGGGGCAGGGGGTTGCATTATAAAAAGTAATGTATTTGATACTATTAAGATATTACTTTTAGTAATTGTTTTTACTTAACAAGATAGAAGTTAAAGCAAAAAACTAAGAATAAAAAGCAAACATTACAATATTTAAACCACTTTAATTAGTCATAGAAAACTATTTAATATGTTCATGCCAACTTTTTTTGCTTACCTAAATCCATACGGCTTTTTTAGAAAAAGAAGAGAAAAAACAAAGAATAATAAATGAAACGATTGCTGCCCCATCCCAAACCCTCAGTCGATGTAGCAGCACTCCACTGCGAGTCAGGCGATTTGTCAGTTGATGTATGTACTGAAGCCCCGAGCAGCAGGCTATTTCAGTATGACGCCAGATTGCTTACCTTAGTACGCAATACTAGTTGTGTGCATATATATATATATATATATATATATATATATATATATATATATATATATATATATATATATATATATATATATATATATATATATATATATATATATATATATATATATATATATATATATATACTACTGGTCAAAAGTTTGGGTTCACTTGCTTTATTTTTTAATTCTACATAATTTTCTTGGAAAATTGAAGCTCCTTCCACTCAAAACTAGCGCCACATTAATTTGAAGTATTTATTTTGCCATTTTGTTTATAAAGAAACTACACACCTATTTGTGTATATAGAGTGTAGGTTTATCAACATTACAATATTACAGTATTGAATACTGTGAATTTATTTTGTGAATATATACATTACAACATTACAGTATTGAATACTGTGAATATATTTTGCTGTAATAATTGGGTATATTTTGCTGCAACAACCTGATATATTTTGCTGTAAAACTAATTTGATTAACTTTTTTTTACTGTTGTTGTTTATAGTTTTTTTATACAGAAAGGTAATCAAAAAATTGTTTTTGTTCAATATTTTAACGTGCTTACAATAATTATTATGAACAAGGATTAATTTAAAGTATTTTGTCCTAGTTTTAAAATTTGAAGACATATATATTTTATGTTTTGATTGAAGAAAAATGGGTCAAAAAGCAGTCTAAGATACAAAAAATAGGGAAATTTTTATTATTAATCTTAAGGAAGGTTATTCAACACAAAAAATTGCTTTTAAAACCAATTTTTCTTATAATGCAGTCATTAGAGCCTTGTAAAAATAACATGAAACTGGATGTAATCAGATTTGCCATTGTTCAGGGAGACCTATAGCAACTCTGAATCACAGAAAGACAAACTCATCCACGTTCAAAGTAAAAGAAATTGTACTCAAATTGCTACAGAATTTGCCAAGAAATTAATTCCATGCAAAAAACACTAGTCTCTGTTTTAACTGTAAAACAGCGTCTTAGCAATGAAGGTTTGGAAGGAAGCGTTGCTGCCAAAAAAACCATTACAACGCAAGTTAAATAAAGTAAAATGGTTGAAATGGGCAAAAAAACATAAAGATTGGGAAATATAACAATAGTCGCAAGTCTTGTTCACTGATGAACAAAAGTTCAAAATTTTTTGAGGAAATCATTGTTCCCCATTTATTTAGTAAACGTGGGATAAAACAATGTGTGATCCCAAAAGTTAAGCATGGTGATGGGAAAGTCATGATGCTTAGCTTGAAATAAAGTTGGTGATCTTTTGCGAACTGAGGGTACCACAAATAAAAATATTTAAAAAAAAAACTGAAATATTTTTTTAAATGTCATCTCATTCATTCATTTTCTTGAAAGCATGATAATTTTATTGAAAACAATGAGCAATTGAATGTTAATAGAAAAATCAATTTTTTAAAAAAAAAAAAGTGAAAACATACTGCATGATATTCAAAACAATCTTTTGTGAAAATAACATAATTTTATTATAAACTGTAAATAAATATCTATGATGAGAAAAATCTCTTTTGTTTATTATTAAATCTATCAAGTGAACCCAAACTTTTGACCGGTAATGTGTGTATATATATATATATATATATATATATATATATATATATATATATATATATATATATATATATATATATATATATATATATATATTAGAGTGCCTCTAAAAACAACTTTTTTTGAAATTGTCTGCTGCCACCCCCTAAATGTGTTCTATGTTTATTACTGCTAGGAACCATTGTAAAAAGGTTTTGTCTAATGCCAAAGCCCGCTATTCTCAGATCATGAAATCTTGTATTTCGTCACAAAAATTAGGCTCTTGTGACTTCTGGAGAATTTTCAATAGTATCAATAATAAGGGCAAGTCTGTAATTCCACCTCTTTTGTATGGTTCAGACTTTGTCACCTCACCTAAAGACAAAGCTGAATTGTTTGCCAAGAACTTTTCATCAATATCATCTCTTGACTCCACTAGTTGCGTTCTACCTGATATAGCCGTCAAACAGGTTGATCCATTGCTCGACATTCGTATCACTCCAGCTTCTGTATCTAAATTGATTTCCTGCTTAGACTCTTCTACAGCTTGAGGCCTGGACAACATACCTGTTATAGTCTTGCAAAAATGTTCTCCGGAGCTGTCGCCTATCCTTTCAAAACTATTTAACAAGTGCTTATCAGAGTCTTGTTTTCCAGCCTGCTGGAAAGCAGCATCTGTTATCCCTATTTTTAAAAATTCTGGAGAGCGGTCTGACTCATCAAACTACCGTCCCATTAGTCTTCTTCCTATCATAAGCAAGGTTTTTGAATCTTTAATTAACAAACACTTAATCTCTCATCTTGAATCTCATAACCTACTTTCTGATCATCAGTATGGATTTCGATCTTCTCGTTCTACGGCTGATTTGCTATCAGTAATAACCAATAGGTTTTATCGCGCATTAGATAAAGGTGGAGAGGTTAAGGCCATTGCTCTTGACATTTCTAAAGCGTTTGATAAAGTTTGGCATGCTGGTCTTCTCCATAAGCTTTCTTCTTAAAGTGTATCTGGAAACATCTTTGAGATTATTGAATCCTTTCTTTCCAATCATAGTATAAAAATTGTCCTTGATGGACAGCACTCTTCTTCTTATTTTGTAACCTCAGGGGTTCCTCAAGGTTCAATCCTTGGCCCTTTTTAATTTACATTAACGATCTTCCAGATATTCTCACATCTAAGGTGGCATTGTTTGCTGATGATACTACCATTTATTCTTGTCACGATAAGAAGTTAACTCCCTCTGATTGCTTGCAGGGGGCATCTGAGCTTGAAAAGGATCTCACTTCTGCTACAGCATGGGGCTCACAGTGGCTGCTGAACTTTAATTCAGATAAAACTCAACTTTTTTCGGCCAATCGTTATTGCAATAGTTTAGACCTTTCTATATTTATGAATGGTAATGTACTCGATGAGTCTCCTACCCTTTATCTTCTAGGATTAACTCTTACTTCTGATCTTTCTTGGAAACCTTATATCAAATCCGTTGCAAAATTAGCATCTGCTAAAGTTGCTTCTCTTTATCGAGCTCGTCACTTACTTACTCTGGATTCTATTCTCTACCTCTATAAATCACAAATCCGGCCTTGTATGGAATATTGTTGTCATATCTGGGGCAGATCTTCTAATAATGCCCTTTCTCTTTTAGACAAGATGCAAAAACGCATTGTAAACATAGTTGAACCTGCTCTTGCAGCCAAACTTCAACCTCTGTCACATTGTCGTGATGTTGCTTCTCTTTCTCTTTTCTACAAATACTATAATGGGCACTGCTCAAAAGAGCTAGCGTCTCTTGTGCCATCTACTAAAATTCATTCTCGTGTTACTCGTCATTCAATTAAGTCTCATCCTTTTTCTGTTACTGTTCCGTTACTGTTACTGTTCCGTTACGTTTACTGTTTTCTGTTACTGTTCTGTTACTGCTCTAAAAACTCTTATTCGTCTAGTTTTTTTCCTCGAACATCAGTTTTTTGGAATTCGCTTCCTTCATCTTGCTTTTCTGATTCATATAATTTGCAATCTTTTAAGTCGTCTGTCAATCGTTATCTTGCTCTACAATCTTCATCTTTTCTCTTCCAGTAACTTCCAACACTAATTAGTGGTTGCTTGCAGCCTTGTTGGAAGCGAAGATAAATAAAATTAAAAAAAATAAAATAAAATAAAAGTAATAAATTAACACTAAATTCAAAAAATGTTTGAATATTTGAGACTGGTGTAAGGTGTAAGTTTATGTAAAGAAACTGGCAACTGTTTTTTTTTTAGTTTGTGATAGTAAATCAAATAAAACGTTAAAAATCTCTAATTGTGGAAATGTTGACCTAAACCATTCTGATTCTCATTGGCTCATAAATATCATGCAAAGATTATGGACAGATGGCCTAACTCTCTATATTAATAAAATTATTAATATATCGAACTTGAAAGAGTTATTCTAAATATTTTTTAATCACATTTAAATATTTTCTATTACTTACTTTTTCCTTTAATTATATTTGAAGATAAAAATTTATTTCTAATAAACAACACAAATGTTATTGAAACCACCGAAACCATCTTCTTCTTTTTCCTGAATAATAAAAATACAGTTAAACAACAATAAAGAATAAAAAAAAACTGTCTTTAATATTATAACTTTCAATTAAAAATATATTCGATTCAAACCAGAAAAATATAATTATTTAATGGTCAAACAATGAACTATGTTTATTACATTATTTTATATGATGGCATTACTAAGAGCATATTTTTTTCTTTATACAAACTAAATTAGATTCAAACCAAATTAGCAATACAAGCAAAACAAAACAAAATCTTTTATAAACTTTATTTAAGTATGAATTAATGATATGCATATATGATCTCATTTCATTTCTGGAAAAATTCTTGAACCTTAATACTTATTACCATGTGAAGTCATGTGTCAATAAGCGATATGGATTTTTAAACTTTTAATTTCCAACTCTTCTTTCCTAATCAGACAGACTTTTGCAATATTTCTCCATATTTAATAACTGCTTCTAACTTTATAGTATTTATTTCATGATTTTGATTCATGATTGTTAACATGCTGAGCACATATGATTGCTATTAATCTTTAAAAATGAACTTACCTTGTAACTTTAAAAAAACTTTTTATCACTTTTTACATCTAAAATCAATTTAAATGCACATCAATCATCTATAAGCTGCCAATTAGACAACAACAGCTTATTTTAAAACTCATTAAGACTGTTAACTTTCCTAAGTTAGAAAAGCTCCACACTGCTATATTCAAACACTTTATACTTAGGTTAGACTTAAGACAGCTTTTTTCTCTTATTGATATACACACTTTTTTCAATGTTTCCCCAACATCCTTTTAAAACATATTATCAATTGTACTCTTTAAAGAAAAATCAAAAAAAAAAAAAAAACAAAAAAAAAAAAAAAACAACGCTCAATTACTAAACCACACCAACACTGGACTCTAAAAATAAAGTAACAGTAAAAAACTGTTTCAATTGTTGCTACTAAATACCCAACAACTTCAATCAACAACATCAATCTGCTCTCAACGTAAAAAAAATCAGCTGGAGGTGACCATATCAAACTATTTGTCCTTAAAGCATGAGTCAATACAGCAGCTGCCCCACTTAACATCATTTTTTAGAAATCATTGTAGCCCTAAAAGCATGGTTTTTCGCAAATATGACGCCACTGTTCTAAAAAGGCTCCTAACTAAATCAAGCAACGTACAGGTTAATCTCCATCACCTCACCATACAAAATAAAAACAAGATCATGCAGCAGCTTGTAGCCAACAAACTTATTGCCAATTGTCAATGAAAAAATCTGAGTCACAAATCTGCTTGAGGCTATAGACTTTCTGACCTACAGCATTTCTAATAAGCTTCCAGTAGATGTGTTCTTTCTTGACTTTTCCAAAGCTTTTGCTAAAGTCCCTCACAGAAAACTACAGCAAAGCCTGAATTACATGGAATCAAAGGTAATATTCTGAACTGAATTAATTGTTTTCTTTAAAATACACGTATTTCTTGGTAACACATCATCTGAACAACTCTGAACAACTTACCAGTGAAGCTTTGTAAGGTTCAGTGCTGGTTCCAATGCTGTTCATTATCTTCATTAACAACTAACCAAAATGCAATAGTAGTGAATAAATTATAATTATTTTCAATAAATATAAGCTTATAATTTTATAGTGTATTATTTTATAATTTTATAGTGTATAAGAGATTTTTTAAACTGAAATTTCATGTAAGTAAACTTTTTAAATAACTGACATTTTGAATATAAGAATTGAAACATAAATAACGATGGTCTTTTAAAAAGATATTTTTCAAAAAAAAAAAAATTTGTATAAACATATTCATATTCCTTATGTATATTTTAGCAGTATAATTTTTATAACATTTTACTATAATTTTGGAAGTATATTTTAAAAAATTCATTGTATTTAAAATGCATTAAATAAATTTATTATGTCATCAAAACATCCTGTAAAAATAGATAACTTATGAGTAAAACTGCTTAGAAAATCAGTTTACATAGCTCGCAGTACCTATTTTACATAAGCTGTCAAGGCTTGTGTGTATGTTTATATATATATATATATATATATATATATATATATATATATATATATATATAAACACTTACTAAAGCGTGTTTTGATAAGCATTTGCTCACTTTTTCTGCTTACCTTAGGCTATACTGTTTTTTTCGAAAAAGAAAAAGAAAAAACAAAGAATGATGAATAAAACGATTGCTTCCCCATCCCAAACCCTCAGTCGATATAGCAGCACTCCACTGCGAGTCAGGCTATTTGTCAGTCGATGTATGTACTGAAGCCCCCAACAGCAGGCTATTTCAGTATGACGTCAGATTGCTTACCTTAGTACGCAATAATATTTGTATATATATATATATATATATATATATATATATATATATATATATATATATACATATATGTATATATATATATATCTATATATATATATATATATATATATATATATATATATATATATATATATATATATATATATATATATATATATATATATATATACATATATATATATCTGTGTGTGTGCGTGTGTATGTGTGTGTGTGTGTGTGTGTGTAAGTGATTTGAATGCACAATATTTTTTTTATGCTACAGATGTATGTGTGTATGTGTGTGTGTGTGTGTGTGTGTGTGTGTGTGTGTGTGTGTGTGTGTGTGTGTGTGTGTGTGTGTGTGTGTGTGTGTAAGTGATTTGAATGCACAATATTTTTTTTATGCTACAGATGTATAACTGTTTCATATGATAAGAAATGTCAAAATCCATGAACACTTTACTTGGTATTTTTGTCATTTAAATAAAAAAGATTTTTTTCCAATTTTTAGCTTCCAAGGTCATCTGCAACACAACTAGATTGAATTGGATTTTTACATTTCTTTATGCTTTTTTGGAAAATGCTACACATTAAAAAAATCTCTAATTGTCAAAAAAAAAGTTTTGTTCATATTAAGGTGAATGTTTGAAAAAAAAAATTTGAGATTTTTAAAAAAAAAATAACAAACACATACCAAGAAAAATTAACTTGGTAGTTGAAGTCAAAACTATATAATTCATTTAAGCGCATAGTTGTAGTCAAAACTTTAAAATTTATTCAACCACGTTTAACTTTAAAGAATTTTAAAAAATGACAATTATAATATATTGTTTTTTTTTTTTTTAAACATTAAAAAATATTACATACAACCAGCAAATCACTTTTAATTGTATTATTTTTCACTAAATCTCGAAATATATTTGTTTATAAATTAAAAATAAATTAGTACCTTGGCGTCTATAAATATTATTAAAGAAACTTATTTAAAAAATTGTCTAACTAAGATATATTAAATAATAAATTTTTTTATTAATTTTTATAATATATCATTAATTTAATAACATTAAATATAACACAAAACTAATTTATAGCAAAAAACAAGTTTAAAATATCTGGAATACTTTGAAAGTGAATTTTGAGAAAATTATAAAACAAAACTACTATACAAATTGTTTAGTAATTTATAAAAAAAAAAAAAAAAAATGAAGAATTCCTAAATTTCTTATCAGAATTTCACAATAGCATCATAAAACTGTTTAGAATTGAATATGCTTAAATAAATTATAAATTCTGTAGATTGCATCAAAAAAAACACATATATTTTTAAGACTTGAAATTAAGTCTAAAACGGAGAAGGCAAGCTTTGACCAAAACTACAAAGTTAGTTGCTCTTGGTATACATTTATTGTTTTGCTTTACTCAAACAAGTTCAAACACGTTCAACCTAAACTTTTTGTCATTTGCATATTTTTCACAAAATTAACAAACTTTCTGTAGCTCTCAAAACTATTCCAGCGCCCAAAACACCCCTTAATCCGCTCATTAACATTTTTCTAATAAATACTAATAATGTCAAAAACGATCCTGCTTTTCAGGCCAATATTAAGAGTTAGATTACCATTCAAGTCAAAAACCTTTGTGGGTGGATAATGTCTGAAAATCTTAACATTGATGAGCGAATTCTTTATTATTTCTAGATTAGTGGCATGTGTCAGAACGCATTTTTTTTATGCGTATTGTGTATTGAGTATAATATTCACATCAAACTCAATACGCAACTCAACACATACACTTTTTTTTGAGTATATTACTCAGTACACAACTTATCTTACGCATTATTTTTGAGTATTTTGCGTAAAAATACCCTATTTTTTTTGAGCGTAAAACAGAATTTTGTTTTTCAGTAATATGTTTTACTTCAACGCATTTCAAACAGAAAAACGAAATAAGAAAATAAAAGTAAAAATTAATTATAGTTTTCAAAAATGAAATTGCAACTCATAAACAAAACAATAATCAAGAAAACTATTTATGCTTTATCTGCCGTGTTGCTGGCTTTTTTTCTACATAACATATGCTAAACTACACCGCATATGCTAAAAAAGCGCTCAACATATGTGGAGGATGTCGGTACATTGTAAAACATAAGACACAAATTATAAAGATAAGGTTATTCTTTTCTTTTATCAAACCAAAATGCAATGTACTGAGTTTTGTTGGTGAAAGTATGGTTTCCTAGAATATTTATAGAGATATCTCTTTCTTTGTCTGCTAAGTGCTCAATGCTGAGTTCTGTTTTGTATTCTATCTGATGCAATTCTATGCTTTGGTAAAACTGATCAAAGGCTTCATCGCCAGGTACACATTTTTAGAATAAAATTTTTTTTAGCATTTGCAATCATATCATTTTTTTCACTTTTTTATTAAATTTAATCGACAAGTTTACTAATGAGCTTAGGCCAATCGACTATGGCTTTAGCTATTGGTCTTTGATACTAGAGGTAAAGTTTAGAAACATTTAAAATTGCAGCAGCTGCATAAACAGCAGAGTAAAGCTCATGTTCAAACTGTTTTTATCAACAGTTTTCGAAATTTTCTTTTTGCCTTTTTTAGCAATTCTCTCATGCATTTCTAACAAATGTAAACTTGGTATTAAATCACTTATATGTACACAATTTCTCTGATTCAAAAGTATAAATCTATATGCTGGGAGCATCATTGATAAATAGAATTCAATTTCTGCTTGAGTAACTGGATATTTTACTGTTTTAAAACAGTTTTTTGATATGCTTTATAAAAACAAATCAACATTAAAAAGCTTGATGACCAACAAGTTAAATTTTTGTGTCTTAATCTTTGTTTTTTTGTTGTTGAAATATTCAAGCAATTTTAATTGTCTGATGAGTCTGTTTAGCAAATGAACAAAGCAATGACAAAACAATTTTCAATTATTTGCATGACCTCACAGTATTACATAAAGAAATATTAAATTTGTGGTTTGCGCATGCAAATCAAAGGACTTTTTTGTTGCCGAGTTCAAACTCTAATTGATCTATAATACTATGATCCCCAAATTTATAAATTTCAGCATCATTATCTCTGGTAGCATTAACCTCAGCGTCAATTTCATTAGACTTAACTTAATATCATCTTGAATTGAATTTATTTCTCAGTAAGGAATTTGTTTATTTCAAGATCAATTTTATTTTCAGGTGAATCATTCAGTTCCTGGTCATTCTCATCATTTTCAAACAAGTCTTCAAAAATCTTCTTCAATCCAATTATTAAGTCAGAATTTAGCATTTGAGGAAAAACTCTAAGAAAAGCTAACTATCGCTCAACTAACTGTTTCAAAATTAATATAACATTTTCAGCATTATGTGGGCCATTCATTCGTTGAATACCAAGAACTATTAGTTTTTTACTGAAATCAGCATAAGTAGCCTGGAAACATAGGGAAAAATCAGCCTACTGACGGCTTTCCCAGATATTAGCTATTAATGTAACAGTTTTGGCTTTTCTAAGATGGTTCGTGATTGGTTTTAATTACCTTAGGAATAATATTATAGGCAAAAGATCTCTCACATGGTAAATGAATTTTATGACGCTCTAAAAGTCTTTTTAGATGCAAGTTACCCAGCTTTTGGGTTGCCATATTGGATGAATCGCCATTTAAGCATGAATCATCTTTGTTATCAAGACTTATATCGTCATAAGCCTTTTTCCAACCCATAAAATTTCTTTCCTGTTAAATTGTGTTGAATTAAAGTGCTTAAAAAAATTACCATTTTTACCAAGTGGCTCATGCAATACTTTGAAGCAATAAATGCAGGTAAACTGTAGTTTTTCTTTCTTTCTAGGCTTAGAATTGATTTCTGTTCGGCAATGAAAAAAGTTCAAAACTCAACTGTAAGTTTTTTCAGTGTCACTAAATTTGAAAATTTTACACAGAAACTTGTTGTTTTTTAAGCTGTGTCGAATTTCATCAATCTCTTGAGCATATAGTTTAAAACATAAATTTGTTGATGAAGGATTGCTTAAGCTTTTACTGCACAAGGGTTGGTCTTCAATTTAAATACAGTCATTATTTCAAATACGAAGCTTTACATGCTTACTAACAGCTTGAAAAACGTTATTCAAAATAAATTACTTTACAAACAAAACTTTATTTTACACTCAAAAATTTTTTGTATTTTAACGCAAAATATTCAAAAATAATATGTAAGATGAGTTGTGCATTCTATTCGCAAATTCTACTTAACAAAAATAGGTATGATAAGTTGTGTCCTGAGTATAAAACTAAAAAAAATGTGTATCTTGAGTTGCGTATTGAGTATTATGTGAGTATTATACTCAATACGCAATACACATAAAAAAGTGCTGACGTATGATTTATGGTATTATGCAGGTCTCAGTATACTAATGGAAGAACAACTATACTGTGTTTATACAGAGTGTAGTAATTTAAGTTTTTTATTAAAGCAATTTTAAGTTTGTTATACTTTTTAGAGCAAACCATTCAGTATTCTTTCTTTTTCTTATTCTTTTTCTTATTCTTTAACTTTTTCTTCAAATGTCTTTTAATGGCTCACAGTTATTTCCTGGGGCAGATGCTGCTATTCTATTCCTTAAAAACCATGGGATTTACAAAAAATATATGACAAAGCTTGGATTGTTAAACTTTTCCTCTTTATCTACTGTTAGTATTATGCCTGTAACAATAGTCATCTGAATTTTTAAAGTATATAATGCATCATCCATGATTCTTGCCTCGTGCAATGCACAAGGCTGTAAAAACTTAAAGTTCTCAATAACAAGTTCTCAATAATAAATTAAATTATTATTATTATTAGAGTTATTGAGAACATTAGATTTTTAGTTAATGAGAATTAGCAATAATCAACTCTAGCAAAGGTTTCATTATAACACACATAAGCCAAGTAGGTAAGAACTTCTTTCTCAAATTTTTATTGAATAATCAGATGCAATATCTTCACTCTTTAAAATAACCTTAGCTTCTACAGCAAATTTATTTTTTATGAATTCTGTCTCTCCTCTTTCTCCATCGGTTTTTCTGATATAATTTTGCAAACTTCCTTTAAAAAAATAATAATACAATTAAAATAATAAAAAATATCAAACAAAAATGTTTAGATTTTTAAAAAAATATTAACCCTCACCTTCAACTGAAGGTGAGGTTAATATTTTTTTTATCAAGTAACCCTCACCTTAAACTGAAATTATCATGTTTCTCTTTCCTCACTAATCCTCCAAAAAGATTAGGCCTTTTTGAACCTTTTCATGAACTCTAAGTCAGCTTATTCTCTGCTTGAAATCTGATGTGGATATTAGTGAGCGACCGGGTTTGATTTTGACCGGGGCTGGGTTAAATAAAATATAGCTGGGGTGGGGGCCAGGTTTGTGACCAGGGTTGCATAAGCACTTATACATCCTAAATTATTGCCAACTCAAAACAACATGTGGTACCAATGTGAAGCTTTTAGTTGCTAGTCTTCATTTTGTCGAATATGTTTAACAAAAAAAATATATATATATTATGAAGAATTTTTTGAAAATGAAGAAAATGCAGCAGATCTTTTTTTGACCATGAAACAACTCAATTTTATTTAATTAATAAATAGTTTAAATAGTAAATAATTAATAAATAGTTTTTTTTCATATAGTTGATTAAAATAGTTTTTTGTAAACTTAACTTATAATAAGATTAGTTATTTTATTTATTTTTTTATTAATTTTTAATTAATGTAGCTTGATATTTTAATTAATTTAAAATTTTTATAATTAATTTAGCTTGATTTTCTTAACATCTTAATTCTTATTAAAATTCAACTAGTTTACTTTTTCCTAATTTATTTGGAAAAGTAAATTTTAATACATTAATATCATCTAAAAAATTCTCTATATAACAAAACAAAAACAAAAAACCATAAAATATTTTTTCTTAAAAAAATAATTGAATTTGAAGCTAAACCTAAACTCTTAACCTAGTTTACTTAATTTATGGGTTGCTGCAAGTAAAAACCACTAATAAGTAAAAACCACTAATAAACTGATTATAAATAACTGCTTTTCAAAAAACCAAAAAAACACATCTTTATAGACTAGAAAGTTCTACTTTTGATTTTTGGAATGTTGATGTTTTTATTTTTTTATTTTATGCAATTTTTGATTTTTAATACTTTTTTAATAATTTTTGATTTTTAATGCTCATTTTAGTATATATTTATAAGTAAACCCGTTTTTAGCATCCATTTAAATATATAAATTTTATCTATTTTGTGAAGTCACTTGACTTGACAAAATCACAAAAAGAAGCCAGGAAAACCAAAAAAATCTACATTTTATATACTTAATAAGTGTTTATAATAAGTCACAAATAATTTAAAGTATTAATTTAACTGTCTAAAAAATAAGTTTATAAGAAAATTTGTTAAAAATATACAGTGACAGTAGGGGTCATCTTTACTTGCCCCATTTTTACAGCATTACAGAAATTTTATTAAAGAAGTTTTATGAATTATATTGCAAAAATAGCATAATCTTTACAGCGTTACAGAATCATGGAATGAGTAACAAGGCGGTTTATAATAAATATTACATAAATGTAAATATTTTCGATATATATATATATATATATATATATATATATATATATATATATATATATATATATATATATATATATATATATATATAATAACAATAATAATAGTAATAATAGTACTAATAATAATAATAATATTGATAAAAATATATATATATATATAAAATTGGAAATGTTACCATTTCATCATCATACATCCAAACAGTATCCACAATAAATTTAAATGCATAGCTTCCCTTTTTTAGCAGTAAAACTTTAGAGAAAGATTTCTCGTTACTGTAAATAAAAAATTAAAATTAAATTTTAACTGTCATAGTATGTAAAAATGTTTTCAAAAAAGTTTTCTAGATACCTGACAGATAATTACACTTGTGTATGTGTGTCAAGTAATATATTAATCATAAAAGTGCTTTCACTATTGAAAGAAACAAGACAATCTGGATAAAGCATCTTGTAGAATTGTATGAGTTACAAAAGAAAAGCAGAACCATTCCACTAGAAGAACAATGACAAGAAGATAACAGCACTCAAAATCCAAATTATTGGTCGCTATCTGTTCCTGTGAGAATCCATCAAAGAGAGACAAAAACGCATAAAGTAAATTGAGAAAGAAGTAACAAGTTTTAAGCAAAAAAATTAAATTGTCTATATTTATCAATTCAAGACGTACAGACAAAACTGGATCAAGTACTGAAGATGTACAATAAATGTGTGAAACAAAGAAAATACGATCCATTCAATGAGGTTTTTGACATCACAAAAAAGATGGTGAATGGCTCTGCAGTAAGGGCAGAATAAAAATTTTTTTTTTTTTTAGATCTTTAGATTGAAAACAAAAGACATGTTGGGTATACAACTTGAAAGGCATTCAAAAAGAAAAATGTAACGACAACAGCAGCAACATCAATTTTCAAATCCGAGTCTGAGGCAGAATATTAAGTCTGAAAATTTAGAAAAACAGTCAACAAGTACCAGCAAGAACTACAGCAAAACTAAAACTGCAACAAAAATAATAATATTTTTAAAGTTATCAACCAGCAAAGTAGCAACAATTTGTTGAGAGCATCTCAAGATGAGATTAACAATTTTTAGAGTTTGGTATACTCAGATATATTAAATTATACTCTTAAAAAGTTGTTAAACTTGAGAAAGAAATAAAGGAAACACTACTTTTAAAAAAATTGCAATAAAGATTAAACATTCTATGTTTTATTCAAATTTGCATCGGCAAAGTGAAGAATCTCGAAAAGCTTTTAACAAAATGTGTGTTAATGTTAAAAAGCAAACCAAAAGATCAACTCGAGAATACGAAATGGATATAGTAAAGAGAGCAAAGCTTGCACCAAAACTTTTATTCTCATATGTAATTAGAAAACAAAACATTAAAACGCAAATTAGAGCAATCAAGAACAAAAAAGATCAAGTTACCACTGAGATATCAGACATTTCAGATATATTAAATAGGCAATTTCAGTCGGTCTTTGTTAATGATAATGACCAACCAATACCCGAATTCTTACAAAGATGCAAAAACCAGTGCGATTGCAGTAAATTATCTAATATGATTACCTATGAAAAAATTCTCAAAATGTTAGAAGGTTTGGATGAGTCAAAAGCAATGGGTTTTGATGAAATTAGTCCGTTTGTTTTAAAGCATGCTGCAGAAGGTTTTGTGGACCCAATTGTTCATATTTTCAAATTAAGCTTTGGCACTGGATGTGTCCTTTACCACTGGTCTGTTGCAAATATATCACCAATTTACAAAGGGGGATCAAAACTTGAACCAGAAAACTACAGACCAGTATCCCTAAGATCTGTGATTTGTAAAATGTTAGAAAAGCTCATTCGGGACACAATTCTGCATCATTTAGTTTCAAATAGACTTATATCTAAGGAGCAAACTGGTTTTGTTCCAAACAAATCATGCACAACAAATCTTATTGAGACAATTGACATAATTACATTTGAAACTGCAAAAGGTAAACCGTTATGCGTCATATATCTTGACTTCGCAAAGGCTTTTGATAAAATAGAACACAAAGATTATTGACAAAGATTAAAGCATATGGTATAACTGGTAAAATATATAACTGGATTGAAAGTTTTCTTGCAAATAGGAAACAAAGAGTTGCTATTAGTAATACAGTTTCAGAATGGGTATCAGTTACCAGTGGCATGCCTCAGGGTTCCGTTTTGGGTCTAATGTTGTTTCTGCTATTCATAAATGACCTCCCAGAAGTTGTGCTAAACACATTTAAAATGTATGCTGATGATAGCAAAATAATAGACATAGAAGATTTCATTGATAAACAAGCGGAAATACAAACGGACCTTGACAACATTGTGAAATGGTGCAACAATTTGGGTATGGAACTAAACTGCAAAAAATGTAAGGTGATGAGCTTCGGCAATCAGAAAGTTTTTCGAGGTATTGAAAATATACACAATGAATATAAATGGAATGATTTATGACCTCTCAAACAGTGTATTAGAAAGAGATCTAGGTGTCTTTGTACAACCAGATATGAGGTGGAAGCATCAAACGCAAGTATGTGTTAACAAAGCTTCAAAAATACTGGGGTTATTGAAAAATGCCTTTGAAAGTAGGGATTGTTATGTGTGGAAAATTTTGTATACTACTTATGTGCGATCTCATCTTGAATTTGCGGCTCCAGCGTGGAGTCCTCCGAATGTGGCCGAAATCTCAATGCTTGAAAGAGTTTAACGTAGGGCCACAAAAATACCATACTCAAACCGAATGCTAAGTTATGAGAAACGGCTAGTTAAAATGGATTTAATTAATTTAAATTTCAGAAGAAAACGAGGAGACCTTATTCATTTATATAAGATATTAAACAATCTAGAATTTGTTAATCTTAATGTCAAACCAGTCTATAAGTCAAGCATTAAATTATATGGCCCATGTTCTTCCATTAGAGGTCTCTAACATAAAATTAGAATGCAGTGTTATACTCCTCGCGAAATAAATGACTTTCATGCATCGGTTAGCTCCATAATCCATTTCTTCACAAACAAAGTTTGCCAAATTTAGAATAAACTTCCGGAAAAAGTTGTAGATTCTGAGAATTTGAATAGTTTTAAAGCAAGTTTAGACGAATGGCTTAAGAAAAATAAGAAAATATTAATTTAAAAGAAAAACAAAAACAAAAAAAAGTACTGGGCTGCTATAGCTGAACGTTACAACGTCTCAGCTTGTGGATAAGATCCACGCAGTTTACCACTAACTAAATATATCAGCGCTCGAAATGATTATTTAGAGGTTGCCGATCTGATTGGCTGAAACACTGATCGGCTGAAAATGATAAGAATCAAAAAGTAAACGATCAAATAATTTTCTGGACGATCAATTTTTATTTTTGGTTTGTATCAAATTTTAGCACTGCTAAATAAGCAGTGCTATCAAGCACAAACATAAAAAGTGTAGCAATTTTTTGCATCTCACTTTTTATGTTTGTGCTTGATAGCACTGCAGAATTTCCACTTATTTTACAATTTCTAAGCAATCAATAAATCAAAATAAAAACTTATACTGGGCCTTGTTTCAAAGTGTCACGTTAAAAATACAAACAAGCCTTTTAAATAACTTTTTTTAAAGTGTTTTGTTATAAGGACACTTAGGCAAGCCTTTAAAAAAAAATTATTACCCTAACTCATCATAAAATTAATAAGAAATTAATTAAGTTGATCAAGTCAACTTTTGATTTGTCATTTAATTATGCAAAGTCATTCATTCAAAATGTTTAAAAAAACTTTATTTTCTAATCATCTTTAGGTGGTTTAACTTTTTCAAAGTTTAATTGCAAAACTGTTTCTTTCTCTCGTGTTCTACGCAATTAAAAAGCTATTCAAATATTAATGATACTTTTACAGTTTTGGTTACGGATTGTAAATAAATTATGCAACGCAAAACATATATAAAAAACAGATATAGGAGATATTAAGCTCTTTTATGCAACAATTTTCATTAAACTAAATGGGCTAAATTAATTTTTTATTTAATTTAAGGTTCTGCGAGGGAAAACTTTTGTCCTTTTTTGTTTTGTTCATTGTGAAAGTTTGCGTTACGTAATTTATGGACAATCCCTTACCAAAAATAAAAATAAAATTTTTTTACAAAAATGATACAAGAAATATTAGGATCCTTTAAGAAAACATTTGTTGATTGAAACTATAATGCAAGAATATTTATTTAAAAAAAAAAAAAAAATAATGAAAAAGTTTTTGAGCTATTTTTTATTTGACTCGTCAGATGACGAATCCAAATCAATTAATGTTTTTCAAGCAGTTTTTTACTCTTTTCGAGTAACTTTTTCTTTTTATTTGACTTATTTTCTAAAAATTTTGAATAAAAACAATTTTATTTTGCTTAAAACATTATGACACTTTCAAGTCAATCTACCTATCATTAACTCGCATTATTTATCATTTTTCAAAGTTTTTTATAGAAACATTATTGTTTCTAAATGGTTATGCAAATTCGATTCATTAAAAAAAAATTCAATTTATTCAAAAAAGTTCATTAACGGGTGATAAACTTTTTGTTTACATAAATTTTGTAATATCTTTATTTCACTTTTTTAAGTGATGTTTTATTTTTAACGTTTCAATGTTTTAGTTTTGTCTGTTTTAATGCTTTTAACATGTCAATGTTTTACTTTTGTCTTTTTAATGTTTTTGCCTTTTTTAATGTTTTTGTCTTTTTGAATGTTTTTGAATTTTTAATATAAAGTTTGACTTGCAATTCTTGCCGATTAAATTTGATCGTCCAGAATTAATTTTGGGAGATCAAAATATAATTTTTCCAAAAGTAGACAATTATTGATCATTGATCGGCTGCTAATTTGAGCGCTGATATATATACATATATATATATATATATATATATATATATATATATATATATATATATATATATATATATATATATATATATATATATATATATATGAATATATATATATATGTATATATATATATATATATATATATATATATATACATATATATATATATATATATATATATATATATATATATATAAATATATATATACATATATATATATATATATATATATATATATATATATATATATATATATATATATATATATATATATATATATATATATATGTATATATATATATATACATATATATATATATATATATATATATAAATATATATATAAATATATATATATATATATATATATATATATATATATATATATATATATATATATATATATATAT